AATCTTCAATGATTGTCATTACAAGGCTGAATACATAGGTTTGAAATTGAAACTTGTAACTAGATTAAAAACAAGAAGTAAATAAATAAATAGTATTAGCATTGTATGATTCATTATGTATGTTTGTTTATGAGGCATGTATTTAAGGACCTGAATATAAATATATAAATAAATAAATAAAATAACATTAAAGCAGTAATTTGGTATATTAAAATACGCTTTATTCATTCAATTCCTCCATATCTGTAGTCACTGGTATCTTTAATACTTTCATTGAAGATATTGTTACAAACTCAGAGCTACTTTGTTATCTATCCATGACATAACTAGCATATCAGTGAAAAAACAAATACACAATTGTCTCGCCTATCTGATATCAATGTCATATAACTTACATATCTCTGTTTTATAAATGTATCTTTTTTCTTTATATTTGGCCCAATGTGAGTTGGGGACTTAGTACGTTTTACAAGGGTTGTGAACCTACTTCGACATGGTTTTGTCATTATGTTTTCCTTCACTATTGGCGATAGGTATTGTTTCTAAACAAATACAAATGTACCTTACCATAGGTACATGCCGCCCCAGTACGAACTATCGATCTCTCTTTAACGCACCGCTTTAACGTCAGAACAGTTAATAAGTTTTTGTATTGAATTGATATTAATTTTTTTTGTGAAATTACTCCACTACTTTGTTATAATTATTAATACAAAAACCGAACTAATCGTTAGAAGAAGACGTCGTTCGTCGTTTGATCTTTGTATTAATAATTATAACAAACTAGTTACTAAGATTTTTTTAATGTGGATGTTTCACCACATTGATATTAAATTATTTTTTGTGAAATACCCCACTAGTCTGTTATAATTATAATTATTAAACAAAGATCGAACATTTAGAAAAAAATCACTTCGATCCGGTTGGATTCGAACCAACGTCTCCCAGCAAACAGTGCCCGACGTTATGCCAACTAAGGCACGGAACGAATCAACGGATCTCACGAATTTTTCCGTGTGTTTGTTGCAGATCTTTGTTTTTGGTTTTTAACGATATTTTGGAAATAGAACAAGCACTTGGAAATATTTTGCTTATCTTTATTCTCAGATAAAGAAGTTAACGGATCTGGGCCTTATGGCAGCGTCAGTTTCCGAAGACGATGGAGGCTTAGGGCTCGACTACCTGTCTCTCGCTGTAGCCATCGAAGAGATCTCCCGTGGTTGCGCCAGCACTGGGATGATCTTGTGCATACATAACTTCTTATACGTAAACTTGGTTAACGAAAAGGGCACACAAGAACAGAAGGAGCGATTTTTAACCGATTTTACTAAAGGTGCGATTGGATGTTTTGCATTGAGTGAACCTGGTAAGTTTAATTTTATAGTTATTTAGTCTAGGTCTTTTTAAATAGTACCAAGTAGTGGAACAAACAAGTCGTGCACTTGGTGCTAAGCGACACGCCTGTCCATAACAGTTGCTGTGCCACTCAGTGCTTTAAATCACGAAAATCTGAGGAGCACTGCGACTGCACCTGTCACCTTGAGACAGATGGCTAAGTCCCATGTGTCTGTAATTTCACCAGCACCCTTACCCTTCAAAACCGTAACACAGTAATGCTCACATTCGACAGAAATAGGTAAGGTGGCAGTACTTCCCTGGACGAACTCTTTCATAAGGAGCCCTACAGCTACCAAAAAGTCTTGGTTAATTAAATCTTGGGAGTGCCATAGAGGTGCATGCCGCTGTCATTTGATTGATGTAATTAGGTAATATATGTTTTATTGACTTACCACTCAGGGCACATAGCAATATATAATCTCTGTACAGAGTACTAAAATAACCGACCTCTAAATTCATGAATCCCCTAGTTTGCCATCCTTAGAGGTGAAACATTTTCTTCAAATTGAAATGAGTCCACTTCTGAGGTACCCTCTTTCCAACAAAAAATAATCATCAAAATCGGTTCATAAATTTGAGAAATAAGTTAATAAGAGGTATCGCGTAACATATTTAAAAAAAATGTGCATGCGAATTGAGAATCTCCTTGTTTTGAAGTCGGTTAAAAACAATATCGAAACAAAAACGGGTGCGTTAACTTAATTCACCCGAATTATTTCACCTATTAATCTTTTAGTAAACTTAAATCATCCGGGTGCATTAGATAAACATAAAAATAAACTAGTCACCACTATATATAAGGACGCCAGGATTCAACTCGTTACATGGTACAGATACGGTGATGAAAAACTTCGTGATGAAACCTGCATATCGAAGAAGGTTCACAATGAAGTCCCCAACCCGCATTGGACTAGCATGGCGAGTTATGGCCTAAAGCCTTGTATGAGAGGAGCCTCTACGCGGCACTGGGCTGTACAAATAGGTTACAGTATGATGAGTGTTCTGAGTAATGCACCCAAACTGAAACAGAAGTTAAAATTAGCTCATCTCATCAGATGATCTTTTCATCAAAAGTGAAGATGAGGTCGACGATAGAGCATGCACACCTAAACAATACCTATTTACTCTCGTCTTGAAAAGGCCCAAGTTATAGCATTCTAGGGAATAAGTCTACAGGCAGGGAATCCCACTCCATAGCCGTTCGCCATATAAATGTTGAAGCGAAATTCTTCGTGCGAATCCTTGAAACTTGGAATATCCACAAAATCATACAAAAAAGAAACTAAATAATCTAAACCAATAAAAAAAAAACAATTTATTTGTACTTCAGCAAGCCTAATAAGTCTAAGGGTCGTATTCTAGAACTCGACTCAATGCTTAAGTCAGGACTTGAGTATGATTCAAAGCACTAGAAATCATACTCAAGTCCCTGCCATTAGGGTCGTATTTCCAGTGCTTGTGTTGCCAGTGCAATCCTGACTTGAGTATTGAATAGAGTTCTAGAATACTACCCTAAGTGTGAGGCTAGACGAGCGTAATTTTGTGAGTTGTGAGTTGCGTTTTTTTGCGTTGGACCGAAATTCGGTTGGAGCGCCAGACGAACGTATTTTATTCAGTTGCTTTTAAGCGTTTATACGGGGTGTTTGTGTCGTAATAGTGTAATGGATCCATTAAAAATAGTATGCATTTGTGAAGCATTAGAAGACGATGTTCGAAAAAGAAGCTGGATACATCCATTTCAGGATTTCATATATTATATACAAGTTTATGTGAACGTCCAGATCAATTTGTTAAGTACTACCACATGCCAATAAATGTTTTTCAAGAATTATGTTCAACCTCAACATTAAACATTTTCGCAAGAAACGTCTATATTCACGCGCATCCTATACCAAAGTGACCCCTTCCCTCACCCCTACCTCCACCCTCGCCAGCCCGACGCACGATGCGACCGAAAGTCAGTCAGATAACTCATTTTGCGTCGTCGTGTGAAACAAACCATACTTTTGTATGAGTCGGAATGCAGCGCAAACTGCGCAACTCAAAAAACGTAACTCACAACTCACAAAATTACGCTCGTCTGACCTCACACTTAGCTCAGTGTGAGCTTTCTTCAAAAGCAACGCACTGATTTTGTGCATTATCAGCGAAAGTCGAAACTATGTGTTTATGTTAGTGTACTATAGAGTAGAAAATGTTAAAACTTGACGGATAAAACTTAATAAAAAAGAGCAGCAAATACACGATAATTAATTAAAAATATAAATATTCAATTACTAATATATAATAATTGCAAATACAGGAATTGTAATAAATACCGAAGCGACAAGACAGACAGGTTATCATTTAGAAGCTTGCGCTGTAGAAAATGTTTAGAAATACTTAGCTTGCAGTCTTTATAGTTTCTTCTAGTCCTCTGTTGTTGCCGCTGTTATTTCTTTCTAGAGTGCTTCAGATCTTGGCAAATTATATCTGAAATCCTGTTGCCGCGTGAAATTAGCTTCTGTTCATTCCAAAAGCCAATATTATAACATCATTTTAGTGTTTCTTATTCACATAATACTGGCTTATTTCTAATATGATTCCATTAATCTTAGGAGCGGGCAGTGACGCAGCGAACATTAAGACAATGGCGCGCCTCGATGGGGACTTCTGGATTCTGAATGGGAAGAAGAGTTGGGTGACGTCAGCCATTGAAGGCTCCGCCGCCGCGGTCTTCGCTACGTTTGACCCTGAGCTTAAGCATAAGGGTATTGCGTGTAAGTTGTTTAGGTTATTTATTTAACTTTGAACTTACGTCGAGTCCCATTACGTCGAGGCGCATTTCGGAGAACTGTACCTTTGCGACGAATTCTATTTAGTCTCTTCCTATTGCTTCGAATTGTATTATTATTACGACGAGTCTCATTACGAAGAGTTCCATTATGACGACTCCCATTACGTCGAATCATATTACGACTAGCGTTGCCCAATGCAAGCCCAAGGCAAGACTAACCTCAGTCGTGGTCTTGCGTCGGTACACCTGGTCTTAGTATTGCACACTGAGTGTCGTATTCCAGAACTCTACTCAATGCTCAAGTCAGGACTTGAGTATTGCAGTGAGCACTGAAAATAATACTCAAGTCCTTGCCATTAGGGTCGTATTTCCAGTGCTTGAAATCATACTCAAGTCTGCTCAAATCCTGACTTGAGCATTGAGTAGAGTTCTGGAATACGACCCTCAGTCTTGGTCTCGGTCTTGCTGCTAGAGTCTCGCAAGTCTTGCAATTACCTATCGCTACTTATTAGATATGCAAATGTACGACGCCGATTATCATAAACCGCAGGTTATGATAACGCTTGAGGTCGTGTTGCATTGTTCTTATACACACTTTTACAATTGATGTTAAACATGCATACATACACTTAGAGCTCTTTTCCCATAAGCATAGGAAAAATAAATTGAATTAAATTTATGAAAATAATGTATAATTAAATTGTAAATTTTAATTTAAAAAAAACTTCATTTTTTAGTACTCATAGTAAGAAGCTTATATAATATTATTATAAATAATGAAATGATCTTAGTTTCAATTTACATTGACGCAAGACGGAAAGGAAATGTAAGCGAGTTTTTGTAATGAAATTGTACATAGTATAATTGAACTTTGTAAATATTATGTAAATTGTTAACGTACAATGTAGATACGATACGGTAGCTGCTAGAATTTCCGAAACTGTATAAGAATTCTCCTGAACACGCGCAACCTGTTGTTACAAAAATTCACTTCCATTTTGTTCCGCTACAATGTAAATTGAACCTTAAAGTAATCATCATAATTAATAATTAAATAAGTTATTGGATGCTCTGTGTTAATGTTGATTAATATTTCGACTCTTCCGAAGAACAGAGTCCGATACGATTATAAAGCGAAAAGAGGATAAATACATGATCTCGTTATTGAACCTAAGGCCTCTCTATACGTGTATTCAGAATTTGTATTATGTTATTTCGTTTCGGAAATATAAAATCGAACAACAGTCGATCTGATATCCACAGCGAAGAACAAAGATAGAAATGTACAGTGTCCTGAGAATAAGCAGTCTTGCAGATGGGTCTTTGTTCTACTGATGAGTCGATTTATTTTATTGAATATCATGATATTTTTACTACCATGATATTCATATATTTTTTGATACTCACATAAACATAAAATACTCCACCAGTTTGTTATTATTATTGACATAAACAACACAAAGAAAAAGTCTTTCGATCTGACTGGACCCAAACCAGCTTGTGTTGCCACGCCGGGGCCATTGCTCTTACCAACTGAACTACAGATCGAGTCGGCAGCAGATCTTACGAATTTCTCTATGTGCTCGTTGCAGATCTTTCTATAGCGTTTAAACGGTCTTTTTTGCCGTTGGCGCCACATGTGAGAAACGTATGGAAGTTGCATTGGGTGATTTGCTTAAAATTTTTCAGGTTTTCTGGTCCCCCTCGACACTGAGGGAGTCTTCAGAGGGAAGAAAGAGCCTATAATAGGTGTCAGGTAATTAATCTATACTTTTAACATTAAGAATATTATCACAGTCAGGCTGATCTTCCACCAAATCCAAACCAAGCCGAGATATGTTCAAGCAACCACTAGGATTAGTTACTGGTGGTGATGGAACGCCAGTCTAAGTCTAGTCCCTTGACGGTGAAAATTCATTCCGTGGCGGAATGATTACATATTTTATAATATCATGTGACGGGACGAACAAGCCGTGCTCCTGATGGTAAGCTACACGCCTGTCCATAACAGTTACAGTACCACTCAGAGCTTTAAAAGAGCAAAGATCTGAGGGGCACTACAACTGCGCCTGTCATCTTGAGACATAAGTTGACAAGTTCCATGTGCCTGTAATTTCACCAGCACCCCTTTAAAACCGGAACACAGTAATGCTGACATTACTGCTTGGCGGCAGATATAGGTAAGGTAGCAGTACTAGGTGGCCAGTTGGTATTTAGCAGATCCATCCCATAGATGGCGGTAGTAATCCATACACAACCGCTTTTGCTTGGTACAGTTGTAGCAACTGTCCCAGTGTGAAGTCACTACTGACGTTGGAAAGGATGTCAAGCTTCCTGGCTGCATTCGTGGCCTTTATTTATTCAATCAATCAATTGGATGGATTCAATGTATCTACCGAAGTTCAAACTGGACGACAGGTCTATTCCAAGTAACTGAAGAAGAAGATCAGCTCTTCACCACTGGCCCTTGTATCGGACAAGTATCTATCCACAACTGCTGTCCTCAGCATATCCAAAAGTGCCTGGAATTAATTAATCTAAATTAATGAATAACTAAAGCTTATTGGTTGTTTTTGGTGGAAGTAATCACTTTAGAAAAACGTAAATTTGCGATTTGTTCATTTATTTGTGAAATTTATAAATAAA